CCCCCCCTTTTTCCAGTGAGATCTCGCTCATGGAACACTTAATTGAAAGCTTCTTGTAAGCGGGGGAGTTTGCTAAAAAGGCCCACTTTGCTCTAATTCAGTACAAATGGCTGGGAATGTTTGTCTCTTTAAGGACTTGGGGGGTGTGTGGGGTGCCTTTCTTTAAAGGAGGCATGTAAAAGTCAATGTTTTTACATGTGAAACAGTTTGAAATAACCAGCAGACTTCTCCGCGTCCGATTTTATAACACACAGAAAATGTGTACACTTTCCCAACTCTCTGCTAATCTAGCGTGGCATGCGGTAAGGCCGAATCCTGACAGGAAATACATTTGTTCAGGAATACTGTATTACAGTCTTTATTTATTATGATTACCACCTTATTGCTGTCTTTCATGTCTGTATCAAAGGCTGGGCTAGACTGGTTAAATTCATATGAAATGTATCACCCCCCCACCCCCCACCCAGGCTAATGTAGTTTTGACATCTTCTGGCAGTTATCTGAAGTTCCTCCCTGCTCTAAACTCCTGTGACACACACGTGCAGAAGATTCTCAGGGACCCCCGTCACTCCTGCTCAGATTCCTGGTTTTCCACGGACTTCAGGACTGTCGGGAAGCTGCCGAGAGGCTGTTCGTTGTGAGGCTGGATGGAAAAGAAATGTTAATGTAGAGTTCTGGGCCCAGTGGGGCCCAGAGATCCAAAGCTGAATGTGTATGGTAGGTGGCAGGTAGGGAAATGTAGACAGAGAGGATTTCCCCTGTCCTCCTGCAGAGCTGGGCGGGCTGGCGGCATCCATCTTGCAGCCGGGTAACGGGTGGTGTTGAGCATCCCTGTACAGCTTTTCTGATGTTCAGACTGATCCATCAGGAAGCCCCGCTCGCCCCCCCCAACCCTCCACACTGGCAGTGTCACATTCAACTGCCGAAATGTGGATCTTACAGCAATCGAGGATCTCGTCCTCGTGCCTCTCTGGTGGCCGCTCCAGCGGTGATGCAAAGTAAATATTAAGGAAAGCAGACGGTCATTTTGTAGGCAGGCAGCAGCACTATCTTTTTGGCTGGTTTGGGGTCTGGGCTGGCTTCCACCCCGAAAACGACCTGTCTTTACTTTTTGTCAAATTGGCAAATTAGTTTTGATCTGTATTTACTGTGTTCTGCGGGGCTTGCCAGGGCCAAGCAGTGGAGGGAATATTGTAAATTACTCAGCATTCCCTTGTATTTTTAAAAAATTAGCCTTGTGTACATTGACAAATAAAGACAATATTGGCAGTTTACGAGTCGCCCAACGCACGCTGACCTGGGATCTTGGCTTCCTTGTGCGGGTCGGAGGAACGAACGCTTCTGTCCTGCTGCCGCTGCTGTTGGCACATGCCAGGATGTGTCGGGTGGGGGGGGGGGGGCTTTCAGGGACTGTTGAGTGTGCGTCTGTAAATTGGTTGTGGGTTTTTTTGTTTTTTTTTTCCTCTCGGAGGTTTTTCAGTCATGTAATTAGAGTTGTATACTGTCCATGACCCGACACCAGCTTTGTTTGACAGTTTAATTTCCTGGATAATTTAGCTTAATTGCTGTTTTTGAAGCAACCAGAGATGTTCTAAGGTGAGTGGCATGGAGAAATTTCTATCCATATATATGTGTATATACACACACAATTGCATTGATAGCTCAGTCACCTCATTAGTCCAAACATTAAGATCCCTTCTTCTCTAATATGTGTGTGTTACAGTGTCCTGCCCTCAGAGCTGAACATTAGTAATGAATAAGCTGCTAAAATTTGACCAGTCTGGGCAGCATTGACGTTTTTTCAATTCAACTGCATTTTATTTTCAGATATTTGTTTCCCAGCTTGAGAAGTAGGTATCAGTGATTGCCATTTAGTTAATGAAATGAAATTAAATGAAAAAAATGAAATGATCTTGGGTTTTTCTCCACTGTTTTACATCTCAGTGTTATACCTCAGCTAAATTTTACGCTGATACGAATAGCCTCAGTAGGGTCCTTATTGAAACTACGCTTAAATCACTCTTTATGGCAAACCGTCATGTCGGAGTCATCAAGTGCTATTACCTCTGGTTTGGTTAAATCATACCGTTTTTCTCCCGTGTCGTTTTGCACGCAGGAAGAGGGTCATTTTTCTGTTTCCACCATTTAAAGCGCTGGAACATGATAGCGGGAAAGCAAAGGTGGTGACTTTTGGGAAAGAACGTGCTTACAGGACAAATGATGATATTTCCTAAAACACGAATCTTTTATGACCCCAAGGAAGCCCCAGATGTCCTTGATGCAGGCGAATGATTCGAATTTCTGCACCCGTGCTCCTAAATCAACCTTATAAGAATGCCGCGCCCCAGCTCGCACTCTCTCTCTGGTATTAATCGGGGAGAAGGCAGAAAATAACCCAGAGAGTTCAGGGTCAGCCAGAACAAACATTGTTTTTGTCAGTCAGCAAATGAAACACCTGGATTTTGTAACCGAAAGA